TTGCGGGGGTGGTGCTGCCACCGCTTTTCCTTAGGATACTGACTATGTCAAAATTGTCTATTGTGCAAGTAAAGATAACCGCACAAGTTGGAAGGTATATAATTTTGTAAAGTTTAAATATTATCATCGTTTTTACCACAAAGTTGAAAAGAAAGTCTAAAAGAATATATCGATTAAAAGCTTAATAAAAAATATTCGTTTCACTGACTAAAACATCGCGAAATAATTGCTTATAAAAAGACCCTTTGACATTTTCAACATGGGTGGACAGTGAAGTTATTATTAGAAATATCTACACAAGAATTCGGTACTCTGCCCGAAACATTTCTGAACATTGCTTTTATCGCTGTGAGAGCATTTCGGTTTACTCTTAATTTTGACCTGATTTGAATAGTTTCGAGTATGTACACAAAGCTTTGAGCTTTTTGAAGTTATAACGCTATTGTTATGTCAGGTTGTAAAGTTGTACTTGTTTAAGAAACTTTTCTGGCTTCTCTCATAGTTAATTATTATTGTCACGCATTGACCATATATTTTGAAACATGAATTATGAGGAACACGAACACTTAACCTATACATATAATAAATCTGTAGAAAAGTCGTTCGTAAGTGAAATGCACTGAAGTCAAATTAGTGGATTTCAGATTTCTTGTCTGTCTATATTTCTGTCTGTCTGTGTATTCAAGATTCACGCAAAAACTACTAGACCGATATCTATTAAATTTTTATCCGATTACGCAACTTCAAAAAAGAAGGTTCAGTATTTGCCTTCCTTTAGATGTTAATTTTCTATCATATATGATTTTGTTAGTTACAAGTATGCAGGATGACTGGTGTTATTTCAAATAAATGCCATATTCATAAATAAAATTTTAAATAAGTTTTAACCTTTGTTTAATAATTTGAAACCACGCTGACGATCTACACTTTATTTTTCAAAACACCGTCATCTATTATAAAATAAGAATAGTACAGTTTGCCTTCACTTACTAATATATTACATAATATAAAACATTATTAAATATATGATATTTATAAATTAATTAAATGCGAACGTTTGTTTTTTAGCTTTTTCGTTATTTTATTTTGAAAGTAAATTAAATGGATAATATAGTTACGTATACGAAAAGTATGAAAATTGATATGGTTTTTATTTTCAATTACTAATTTATATAATATGTAAACTGATTTAAACTGCTCTGCCTGTAATTATTGCAAAATTCTCATTATTCTTTTAACAAAAACACAAGTTTTAGCAAAATAAACGAAACTTTATGTCTTATTTATATAATAAATAAATGTTCGCGGCTTTCCAGTCGTACCACAACCTTCTATCGCTGATATTACCAGATAGCATTGTTTTGGCTTTCATTATTTCGTATAATAAAAGCGCCATCTACTTACATAGGCTGCACTAAAAGTATCGGGAATGGAATGTCATATTAAAATCTTTTTTAATTGAAAAACTCCTTGGTTTTAAAAATCGAATACCACTTATTTATTTAAAAAAAAGATTACACGGTCTTGTCACAAGGTTTTGTCAAACTTGTTTAGTCGTTGAGAAAATGGAATTGACTCGAGAAAATTCAAGAGCGATGATTTATTATGACTTTCGAAGTGGTTTAACACAAAAACAGTGTGTTGACCGTATGATTTCTGCATTTGGTGATGAAGCCCCATCCAAAACCACAATTTATCGCTGGTTTGCTGAATTTCAACGTGAACGTGTCAAACTCAGTGATGATCCCCGTCAAGGTCGTCCAAAAACTGCAGTCACCCAAGAAAACGTTGATGTTGTGCGTAAGCTGATTGAGGAAGATCGACATGTGACATACCTCGAAATTCAGGCAACTTTAGATAATGGCATGAGTCAAATACAAATAATCTTGCATGAACAATTAGGTGCAAAAAAATTGTTTTCCCGATGGATACCGCATTCGCTCTGTGAAGAGCAAAAAGCGGCTCGCGTTACTTGGTGCGTCAGAACTCTCGAAAGATTCCACGCAGGATCCTCAAATGCTATATACAACATCGTATCAGGTAACGAATTCTGGAAATATGCGTACGAACCCGAAACAAAAAACCAGTCACGAGTTTGGGTGTTCGAAAATGAGTTAAAGCCAACAAAAATTGTTCGTTCACGGAGTTTTGCAAAAAAAATGGTGGCCACGTTTGTTTCCAAAACCGGCCATGTTACGACTATTCCTCTTGGGAGGAATAAAGAATGGTCAATGTAGAATGATGTGCTAGCATTTGTTTGCCACGGTTCGTTTCTGAACTCCGTAAAGAGAACTGCAACCGCCGCATCATCCTCCATCACGAAAATGCGAGTTCTCACACCGCACACAAAACAAAATAGTTTTTAGAGCAAGAAAACATAGAATTATTAGACCATCCGCCGTACAGCCCCGACCTAAGCCCTAATGATTTCTATACTTTCCCTAAAATAAAGAATAAATTGTGTGGACAGAGATTTTCATCACCTGAAGAAGCTGTGGAAGCTGTGGACGCCGACAAAACGGCCATTTTGGAGACCCCAACTTCCGAATGGAATGGTTGCTTCAATGATTGGTTCAATCGTATCGAAAAATGTGTCAAATTTCGCGCAGAATACTTCGAAAAGCAATAAATACATTTTTAAATAGTAATGTTGTGTCACTTCCTTGATTCCCGAAATTTTCAGTGCCGCCCTCGTACTGCTAAATAAAGTAATGAAAAGTCACTGATAAAATTAAATAATAGATAGAGGCTACTGAATACTTATTCGTTTAGAATCAAAACATTAAATAGGAACTCAGACTGGTGGCCATTATCGGAATAATTTACCGCAATTACTACATTTGGCAAAATGACTAACTGAAAAACTGTGATTATGAGAGAAGCTCTTTAGTTGAATAAATTGGGTGTCTATCGGTATAGCTTTAATTTTACCAATTTTGTTTATTAGCAAGTTGTCTGACGTAATTTAATTGAAAATTAAGTGCACTATGAGGTTTATAACTCAATTTCATGAAATAGTTCGTGGCATCGTTGGCACCAATCACGCAAAAGCTTTGTGTTAGTTTTCATGAATTTTATTTAATAATATACGAGAGTTATGTAGCAGGCCGTGAGATTTCATCAACGCACGGAAGCAAAACGTGTACGATTCCCTTCGAGGATAAATGCAGCTGTTATAGGGAATTTCACGTGCTGACTTTTCACGTATCCGGTGAAGTCGTGAATAATATTTTCGTGGGAAAACCTAGATGTTTGAGTAGTTAAAAAGCATTTTAGTTGCAATTTGAAGTGTCGATTGTCTTCGTTCACGAAAGTGAGGAAAACATCGCGAGGAAACCTGTATATCTGGTTCCCCAGTTGAGGTCATTCCGAGTGCAGTGAAAACTTTTTTGACCAAATATTTGTGACCAATAATGACGATGACGATGGCTGCCACTTTTTTTAATTTTAATAGGACAATAATGCGTAAAAGTTATCATCGTCATCATTAAAAGTCCACGTAGGATAGGCCTCCCCCATAAATTTTTAAATAGACTGGATATTTTCTATGACGGTATTAGGTGGCAGATTCTCTTTCGCCGCTACAACAAGACGAACATTTTTCTACTTCCATTCATGAGTGTGGTTCTTCCCACTCTTTCACTGTAAATAGAACTTCATTTGGAATGAACCTAATTCTAAGAATTTTCACTTTTAATTTTAACTTTTTTAATACTTGACAGCACCCACGGTCCCTGGCAGGACTGGGGTGTTTGACGTCCTGATGTTAAAGGTAACGAAGGCTATAAGTCTCGCAGTAGTATGCCTGGGCTTAAATTTAATTTTAGTTATTATGGGATCCCAAGCAGATGGTAGCACCCAGACATATCATCATCTCTACGGTATGATTGAAGTTAGGATGTTTTTTTTTTAAATTTCAAAAGCCTCGAAAATCATCCGTGGTAGGAATCGCTGTTCTTTTGCGAGGATTTATGGTCTATCAGATTTGGGACGATACTGAACATGTTGACATACTTCAGACTTCGTGGAGCTTCGGTGCTTCTCATCAGCGATGTTTTTTTATGCGGGTTCTTAAAGATTTTTCATCCAAATATGCGTATAAAAACCCACGTAAAAAGTTAAAATTTAAATCGATAAAATTCGGACATTTAATTTTACTCCATCTGCAGTATTCGCGCAAATATAAGAAATCATTATAGAATTCATTTTTGAAATTATGCAGTCTGCTTGAACGTAAAAATAGAATCAATTATCGCAAATAAACGTCATACCGTAAATTAATAGACGACAGTGAAAGTCATCATTGTTTTGTCAAAACGAAACTTACTGTAATGATGAAAGAATGTAAATATAAATAACGCTATTTTTTCCAAATGTAAAAATATCTACATTTTTTCCACAAAACATCGATTCCAAGACAATTTGGTAATTGATAATTAATTACCTTTGTTATGGATACATCGGAAGACACGCATGATATTAAAATAGTAGGTGATTAAAGACATACGATATTAATGCGATGCGATGATGTCCGTAATAAAGGTTAGTTTTGAAGCCTTTTTTAAATGATAATTAACGTTATTATCCTTATTTGTAGTTGCAGTAACAAGTGATACAAAGATAATCTTTTAATTAGTACAGTTTACCAAGAAAATTGTACATAAATAAAGTTAATGGGTGATTTTAATATAAGTACCCACATATTAATTATTAAATTTCAAGTTATTTTATTTCCTCAGTGGTTTCGCGTAATGTAGTCTGGAAATAATTTACTTACTTTCTTAATGTGGTTACACGTGACACACCCAGAAAGTGAGGAGCTAATTATCGGCATGGTTATATTGTTATTGTTTGAAGTATTTATATTATTATTTCATCAGTGATGGCACATGATGTCACTCGGAAATATAAAAATTACTTTCCATAGTTATCCAGAAAGTAAAAATTAAGCTGATTCAACCTTGTTCTATAAGATCCCGAATATAACAATTGCGACGAGTATGAAGAAATGGAGTCCGACACGTACCATTACGGCGGTGGCTGTTGTAATGTCAGTGAGGAAGCCGCATCTGAGAGCCGCAGGACAAAGTCCGTCATTGAAATGCCCACGCCAGCACCCGTCCCGCTTGAAGCTGAAGCTGAAGTCTTCAGAAGGGGTCCGTGTTCATTCATCATCACAAGACGAGGAAAGTATGCTGCCCCCAGAAACCTTGACAGCTCTTGGGGAAGGAAAAACGTCCGAAGAAATTTTTGAGCAGAAGATCCCTACGGAAGTCTCTAAACGTTGGGGTAAAATCCTGATAGAAGGGTTGACGAAGGAACAGAAGGAGAACTTTCTGACTAAAACACTGATCCTCGAATATTTTCAACTTGCTAAAGCTCCAAGATTGAACGCCAAGTTTGTGTCAGTAATTAATGAATCGCCTAAAAATCGTTACAGGCGTTTAGAAAAGATGCAAAACTAACTAGGTTGTCGTATTGCAGGTTTAGACATTTAACGTTAGAGTTAATAAGTAAAGAAATGAGCAAATACGAAATAATTAAGCAATTATTTAAAAGAAATCAAATTCTACTAGAATATACGTGGTAGAGTCGTACTGCAGTTATATTAGTAGTATAGTTGTAGCACGAATGGGTCGGCTCTACCGGGGAAAGAACATGATCTCACAGATTACCAGCGTAAAATAGTAGCTTAATGCTGCTGTGTTTCGTATGGTGAGTGTAGAGAACCGGAGACCCTTTTTACTGAAAACGAGGCATTCTATCATGATTTTGAATTGTAATCTAGGATAGATGTAGATGTCTATGGGCCGCAGCAACCACTTACCATCAGGTGGACTGTGTGCTAGTTTGAAACCTTATCCTATAAAAAAGGATAAAATGTATGTCTATAGCTAATTAAAAATGTTAAACTCTATTCGTCGTGTGTTGTGTAAAAATGCAATATTTTAAGAATTAATATTTTGGGAAATGACTATTTCGTCTTTGAGACACATTTTGACGTTCTTCTTATCGAACAAGCTGCATTTTAAAAACAGTGTTCAGAAAAACGACCCGAGCATATCATATTTTTGAGTCTCGGATATTAAAGTTGTGAGCGTATTTTAACATGCTTCCTCTGATGTAATCTTTTTCTTTTTGTTCATTTCAAGTTACGCTGTATATTTTTAACGCCGTGTGAAAAATATACATGAACAATCATACGAAATTAATAATAGTTTGTCTCAAACAGTAAATATGCAACCTAAAACTTCCCCAGTTAGTTTAAAAAACTGTACCAATTTGAATGTATACATGAATATATATATACATACAAGGAACTCTTATAACTTTGTTGTGTCCGTCTGCCCTAAATATACCCTACATAATTTCTGGATGTAGTGCTCTATAGCTGGTCAAAAAGGACAACATGGTAGATATTCATTTAGCGTAAAGCATCTTCAGATTCATAAAGCATTTATATAGTAAAAAGAGCACAAACTTAAAAATGAAACCTTACTAAACAGCTCTGATATATTTAAGTATCCTTTGTTGCTACAGATCCGTTATTTTCCGCTAAAAAAGATTTTTATTTGTTTCGCCATCCGATCCCTAAAATCATTCAACCCTTTAGATCAATTTACCAATTCGCTGACCTTATTTGCGAAGGGTGCATTATTTATCATTAAAATTGTATTGAATTCTAAAAATATGTATGTAATTATCATATTGTTTTACTTAATAACAACTAATAATAAATAAAAATAAAAAATAAAAATAAAAATAAAAAAATAAAAAAGCCTTATATTTCTTCCATTCCATAGTACAATTTCATTAACAGTGTGCATGCAAAATAGATAGGAAATAAATTGAAATTAATGTGGTTATGATTAACAAATAATTAGTTTGTAATAATAATATATTCAAATCTATTTCATTTTTGTAGTTTCATTTAAAAATATATAAGTAAAATTTGGTTAGTTGTTGATTTAAATTGAAGTTAATATTGTTATTGACATAACATAGTAACAATATTTAATTTAACGATTTTTTAACAAGAACTCTCTCCATGAGAGGTAAAGGCCTCCTCCAGAGAAGCCCAGTACTCTCTATTCTCTGCCGCTCGTAACCAATGAGTACCTGCTACTTTTATGATATCGTCTGCCCAGCGTGTATTTGGTCTTCCTCTCTTTCTCTGTCCTAGTGGGCCTGTCCATTGTGTTGTATCTCTTGTCTATCTATTGTCGCTTAGCCTCGCTACGTGTCCAGCCCATCGCCATTTAAGCTTTTGTAATTGAGAGCGTCAATGGCTTGAGTTTTCTGTCTTATATGAGTGTGGCGGGTCTTTTGGATTTTCCTTATTTTCAGAATGCTTCTCTCCATACTCCTTTGGCTAGATATAATTTTATTTTTTACTTTTCTGGTAAATTTCCAAGTTTGGCAGGCGTATGCTAATGAGGGCAGTAAGCAGATGATGGTCGTATGTTCATTTTACTTTTGAGTATTTCTTTGAAGCTCCAAAACTTTTTCCATGTAATGTTGACTCTTCTCTCTACTTCTTGTTCGTTATTTTCTTGGTTTAATGAAATTTGCTTTCCCAGGTAAATGTAGGCATTTAAATATGTTAGGGGTGAGTTTTCCACGTATATTGGTCTTTCAACATGGTTCGTCATGACATTAGTTTTTGTTAGGTTGATTTCCAAGCCCACTTTGCGATTTTCTTCGTATAGAGCGTTTATCATTCCTTGTAGTTGGTTTGTATTTTCTGAGAGCAGGACTATGTCGTCAGCAAATCTCAAATGACTCAAGTAACGTCCTTTTATATTTATGCCTACTTTTTCCCAATTTAGTTTGCCAATGATGGCCTGTAGCACTGCTATGAAGATAGTTGGCGAGAGTGGGTCTCCCTGCCGTACACCTCTACTTATTTGTATGGTTGGTCCTGTAGTCTCTAGCTTCACTCTACTAGTACTGTTATCATAGATATTTTTTATGGCTTTTATGCATCTAGTGATACTCCTTGTGAGAGTAGCGTATCCCAAATTGATGAGTGGAACAGAGAGTCAAATGCTTTTCGGTAGTCGATAAAGGCAATATAGAGTGGTCTCCTGAACTCTTGGTATTTTTCTATCAGCATCTCTAGCGAGTGTATGTGATCCACTGTTGAAAAATTTCTTCTAAAGCCGGCCTGTTCTATAGGTTGGTATTTTTCTGTGCTTTCTTTCATTTTTTTCTCGATTATTGAGGAGGACAGTTTATATAGTGAAGGTATAGGCTTATCGGTCTGTAATTATTTATGTTATTAGGGTCTCCTTTTTTGTAAAGCAATATAATGTTTGACTCTGACCACTGACGAGGTGTATATGAACTGTTCAATATCTGATTAAACAGTAGAGTTAGTGGATTTGCTAGGAATTCACATCCAGTTGTTATGATTTCATTGGCGATACCGTCGGGGCCTGGGCTTTTCTCCGTTTTTAGTGTTTTAATCCCTTTAATCACTTCAGATTCTTCTATGCTTGCTCTCGTCTCTCCTCTATTTGTATCTGGTAATTCATATGTATATTGACTCGGTGTGCTGTATAGTTTCTTATAAAATTTTGTCGCTATTTTCAGTATTTCTGTTCTATTTTGGTTATTTTTTGTTTTGTCTTTCAACTCTTCAATCCATAGCTTATGTGTTCTCAGTTCCCTGTATGCCTTCTTGACACTGTGTAGTATTAAGGTGTTTTTCGAAGGTTCTTGTGCGGTACGTCTTGTAGTCTAAGTAGATACATTTACTAATGAGTTTGTAGAGTGCTTTTTGTTCATTTTTCGTGGCTCTTGATTTTGGTTTTGGCTTTGGTAATTCTTGTCTTCTGTAAATTAACGCCTTTGTGCGTGCTGATAGTGCTTGGTTTTTCCCTGGATTTGTACTGGGTGAAACCTCGTAAGCTTTTTTTAGGCTGGTGTCTATTGCGTTTATAATATTATCGTAGCGATTTTGAACGGTGTCCTCGTCTCTCTAGTTCTTAAGTAAGTTTGTTATCCTCTCAGCAGTCCGGGCCAAAATAGCCGCTTTGGCGCTTCTGTCAAACCCTAAACGAGTGTTATATTGCCTACGTGGCGCGTGTCATTAAAATGGCAATATCTTAATATTTATGTATGGGAACTATATAATATGATATGTTGTTAGAATTATTATTAAATAAGCTAATAGAATATGTGTAAATGTGTACGTTCACCCTTTTGGTATGTTATAAATTTGGTGATAAAATTGCTAGAAGCGATTTTTTTCTAGTTTGTTGAATATAAAATGTAATCATTAAAAAATTAAGCAATTATTTCAATAAATATTTACTTCATTTACTATACGATAACACACTTTACAATAATGAATAAAAAAAACACAACTCTACGTACAGTTTTTTCACACCACAAGCTCTACAATAATGTGGGCCACTTAAGATGACCCGAAACAGGCACAAAAAAAGGCACATTTTGTACTTCAATATCGACGACACCTGAGGCACAATGGGCTATAAATCTTAACTTATGCTATAGTTTGGTCTTTGTTCTTAATATAAACAGTTTCAAATATTACAACTATTCAGTTATTAAGAAATGAACGAGTTGTAACAAACACTTGAAAAAGTGACCCTAAAAAAATGCTTTCAAACTTTTGCATTTGTAACGAACAATTTTGTAATTTATTTACATGTGAATGTACATTCCTAAATATAATAACATTTCCTAAGTTAAAAACAAAACAAATAAGGCATCTTTTATACAAAATTATGTTAGAAATCATCAACTAAAAGTTACACATTCACTACAAAAAGCACCAAGTATGACGTAGTACCCAGCTATGCTAGTATGGATACTTTCTGTGGTGACTTCTTTAATAATTGTAATCATGAACATAAAATTAAAATGAAATACAAATTAGTTATTTTTCTTTGCTTTTTATATTTTTAATTAACATTTGAATGTTATTATAAAAAATGTTTGACAATTCTTTTTGCCAAAATAAAGATTTATATTTTTGTTATTTAGATTTTTTTTTAATTTTACTTAATTTGAAGTGACCCTAGCCTAGTGATAGCTTGCGTGCGAGATCCATAATAAAGTTTAAGCAATGCACGCGTTAGCTTGCAACTGGATGGGTGACCGTTTCGTACTTTGAGGCTATTCCAACTATAGCACCGCAACGAGCTAAGGATTATTGCTTAGCAATAAAAACTACTACGTACAAAAAGCAATCTCTTCCAGATAACCTTGGGCTAAGAGTGAAAACAAAGAGTGTTTCACTTGTCAATCAAGTGCAAAAAAATATAATGACATGCACATACAAAAAGTAAAACAATTTATTGACAAAAAAATAAAACGAAACAAATAAGAATCCACACCAAAAATTATCGTAAAAATATACCAACACTGGCATTCCCAAAATCGTATCCATACTATACAACCTGCTCTCTAAGATGGCGGATTTCATGTGAATAAC